TTTTCCTGGGATTCCATCTCAGAGTGAAAACTGAGATAAATTTAGGTGTATAATTGTAAACTTTGTAATCTTGTTCTTAAAAATGTGGTTGTATCACGATAAAAGATTAATAAACTATGTTAAATATTGTTTTTCCAACATTCCATTAGCAAAATGCAATATGGATATAACCCTCTCAAGCAAATAACCCATTTTCCTTCATTTGTAATGATCCGGTATTTCTCAAGTGTGTATTGCATAAAGTGAAAATATATATTAACATATGAATTAATTCAGTTGTACATAAAATCACCTCTGACTTCTTAACTGATTTTTTTAAAGGATTAAAACTTAACCGCCGCACGCAATCCGATCCGAATAATCCGGTATAAGTATGGCTGGAGTACGAGAAGCTTTACCACGTGACAAAACAAATGACGTCGAAAGCTCTATGTTACGTCTAAATTCTTCTAACCAATAGCAGCGAAGCAGCTCTCACAGCAGGAGGTACAGCGAGTACGTTTTAGGAACATGCCTTTTTCCAACCATAGTGGTTTGGGTCTAGTCGACTTCTATACAGATGTTCCGACAGCGGAGGCAATTGACTAAACATCTTTTTTTTTAATTTCAAAATTTGTGCATATTGAATTTGCGTTTTGTATTGAATTCAGTAATAAATTCTCTTTAAAGTCATATATACAAGTTTGCATTTTACGAAACGTAACATTTTCTATAAGCATACAAAGTTCAAAAACATAAAAATTTCCAAATGTCCACAATTTTGGCCACCACTGTATATTTAATAAAGTGTTTATAAATATTAACATCGCAAACTTTTGTAGTAGTTTACTATATATGAAGTTGATTAGCTGATTATGACATTAATAAGGAAAAATACAAGAAATAAAAGCATATAATGTGATACTTTGATATTTTCAGTTTATATTTTTCGCATGTCAGTTGAAATTTCATGCTTAAAAGTTCGTATATTTTAATATATATTCATATTTTAAAATTTAAATTTTAATTAACTTTAAATTTGCTTTTTAGGAATAGAGAATGTTTGTTAAATATATATATATATATATATATATATATATATATGTAATATATTTCAGGAGCAAGAATTTTTGATGGCGTACACAATGTTTGCTGCTGCACACAAGTCAGCACATTAAATGTGCTTGTTACAAAGGGCTTACATGTTTGATAATTTCGTAGCAAGAAAGCAGCAGCAGACAGACAACAATCTAGATAGGCCAAAGCGTGGAAAGCAAGCGTGTAATGTTCAGGATGAAATCTCAAGTCAGACTGAGTTAGTTTTGGTTTTCAAAGCATTTTCATTGGACAGTCACTATTGCTGTAAAATTACTATTGGATGGTTGAGTTTTAGTTCCATTTACATCATCATAATTACGTAAGAATCATATGACACAGATTTTATTCGAAAAGACGCAGTGCAGAGGTGGGGTTACTATTTTTAGAACTGAGAAGGGAAATTTACGTTGCTAATTTAATCTTTTACATATTCTTTATTTTTGTTACATATATATATATTTAAGTATATATATAGATACTTAATAATAATATTAAGTTATACGAACCTCGTATTCCTAAATGTATCTATCTTACAGTTCAGAGTAAATTCGGAAAACGTAATCCTGATTATCCTGTCTAATAAAAAGTTGTAATGAAGAGTCGTAAATTAAAGGGTAAAAATAAGTATATCTTTGGAAGAGAATCTTCACGAAATTATAACACATTGTAAACTTATAATTAGAGTTAAAAATCCATAAAGCAGCAGAAAAAATTGAACTCATGAAGCGGCAATACCGCAAAAAACCGCGAAAAATACGGAAATCAGAATATTAATCTCCCTTATTTAAGGTTTCAAATAGAACTTGTCAAGGGGTAAGTGTTTCAAACTCTAAACTGGTCGATTAATGAATTCCAAATACATGTTTCGTTTCTGTGAACAGTTGGAGGCTTAAAACATTTTTAAACGAATTATCGTTTTTGATAAATAAGATCACAGCGAGTCTAAAATAAGTTCAGAGCTTCCCCTACAGGCATTCATAATCTCAGAAGCAAACAAACATAAACAAAATAAAGATCAAATTCCTAACTACTAATCATACTCAAAAATTAAACAAAATGTTCAAATTACAGTAAATTGAAAGAGAATATGTAGAAATGTAAAGATTACTTAGAAAACTTCGAAAATTTAAATTTTCGAAAACTTATCTAAATAAGTGATTTAGTAACAAAGCCTTATAAAAGAACTTATTTAGATAAGTAATTTAGTTAAAAGTCTCTTTTACCAGAAAAATAATAGCGCTGCCTTGATAACTTAAATCATTAACTTTTTTCTTAGTTTTTTTTAATAGAATATATATTTCTAAAACGCAAAATATACAACATTGTTGGTCTAACTTCATGAAGTCTTTAAGAAGAGAAAAACGACGAATATTCAAGAAATGAACAACTTACACACATTGTTTTACGATTCCTAATTGTCGAACATATCTTTACATATATAAAAATGAATGTGCAGAAAATTTTACCATGCTACCCATATTTACAAAATATGAAAGCGAATACTCATAAAGTTTTAATGTTAATAATACAAAATATATGCCACCTTTTGAGGATGCAAGAAATATATCACAGCTAATAAATCATGATTAATTAAAATATTATTTCGTCACCGGATTAAAAACTCTGTCGATTTTGTATTACTTATTAAGTTCTTTTCTTCTTGATTTAGTTGTCTAATAATGTACCTCTGAGATAAACAGAGATCATTTGGAAATATTAACTCGGTATAATTATTTTTATTTGAAATACTCAAATGTTTGATCTCTTTGCAATAATTCGATTTCCGAAATACTTTGTAATGTGCTTTTAATATTTAAATGTTTTGGAAATGTAGATATTATAACTGTAGAAATAATTTAATTGTTGAGGCAGAAAATTAAATGCAGCCACCACTTGTAATTAATCGCAAACACTTCGCACGGTTGCAGATCGTTTAATGCTATCATTCCCTGCTGATGCTTTTCGCTTAAATTAGTATAAATGTTCCACCACCACCTGACATTTGTTGAATCATAACATGCATGAGATCTCTAAGATATTCTTGCGTTTCTTTCGCTAGACAAATGAATAATTAAGTCACGATATTATTAAGTAACAACAAATATTGGTATCCGTGATAATTTCAAATGTTTTGATCTATAACGTGGTTATACGTTTTGAAGTTTAATCCAATAATTCATGCTTTAAATTAATAATTAAGCATGTAAAAGACCAATAGGGAGTATATGTCATCTGATCTTTTCCAAGACATTGTAACTAAAATTTTCTTATTTTTTTCAGCAGAAAAGATATAATTTTTAATTTAAGCGTATGTAATCAAACATTGTGTTCACGTTTCAGAAAGAGAAAATGATGTTGAATAGGAACACTTAACCGAAAAATGCAAAGGTAACCCGTGTGTAACATAGCATCAAATTTCTAAAATATGCCATTTTAGATACTTTAATATGTTTCTAGTACACATTCAAGTATATAGCGAAGTTAGGTACAGAAACCAGTTCTAGGTTATGAAAGTCTAACAGTTATTTTAGATTATTTACTTTTCTACCTGCGAGATAATCCATGTATGGAATAAAAAGCACTTCAATTTCGGTCTTAAACTTACGATTCTGCAGAGTTTAGCTTGTTTAGCTATCATTCAAAGTATCTAAACTTTAGGTTAAGAAAAGTATCTAAACTTTAGGTATTCAAAGTATCTAAACTTTAGGTTAAGGTAGAGGTTAAGAATTTTATCGTTTAGTCTAAAGTAATAACTGAAACTGCGAAAGGTGTGAAAGACCTTTAAATTGAAACTGAATAAGAATAGTAAAGTTTCTTGTATTCTTAGTGAGTATAAACTAACGAGATGGTAGACGAATATGTGAGAAATTATTCTCAATCACGACAAAATCTAAAGAAGGGTGTAAAAAACCCCTTTATTAATTCACTATCTTTTCGCAGATGGCAAAGAATCGTGCATGCAAAAGCCAACACTTCTGGATTAACTCAAAAAGGTAACAAGTAACTTAAAATAGAATTAAATTAGACTGACGAGACCTTTCAAGGGTTGCTCAACGCACAGGCAGGCTCTGACTCGTAAAAGTCGGGGTAAATAGACCTAATGGCTAGAAGCTGTCAACGCCACAGAAATCAAATCGCTAGTGAATCAAAGATACCAACGTGACATTCAGGCGACAGAACACGCTCCCCTCTCTTTCTGGCTTCATCTTCCAAAATATTTTCTTAAATACTAATTTCTTTCTACCTTATTTGAATACATTATAAGATATTTCTCCCACTTCCCTAGCGTGCCTTCGTGGTGTAATGGTAGCACGCTGGGCCGGTATTCCAGAGGTCCGTAGTTCGATTCCCGGCGAAGACGGTTGTTAATTTTTCCTCTTGCCTGCTTCTAAAAACTCCTATTGACTCTACAACATGCGCGATGACTTACTAACATTGAGGCAAAAAAGCGTGGTATGAAAAACGACAGTAATAAGAAAGGTTGTTTTAAAAATTAAATTAACGGTTAGGTAAATGAAATTAATCCTCATAGCAGAAGGTCCTTTTTGCGCTTACAACTTAGTAACCAATTATAGCGAGGTAACTTAAGTCAGCAATAAGTCAAATGTAAATTTTAAATTCAGCTAAACCAGTAGCCAGATATTACACAATCACTTAAACGAAAAATTGACTCAAAACTTTGTTAGGTAATAATATTAATTAAAATTTTGGTATCATTTAAAAGAACTCGGTTTTAAAGACACTATTCTTTAAATATATCTGTAATATAGTCCATGCAATCAAGCAGTTCTAAATAAATAAGTTTAATAAAACAGTGTCATTAAAAGCAATGTAACACCTGCCCTATTTTTGTAAATTATTTTTCTAAAATGGAACAAATTCTGAGGAATATTTTTTTTTTTTTTTTTTTTTTTTTTTCCTAGAGATCTCCGCAATTGTGGACTTCGAAGTCTGCCTCCTACTTTATTTGATGACCTGTCGAAGCTCAAAGTTTTGTAAGTCATTTTATAACTTTTTCACGTTACTTTTGTATTCTTTGGAGTTCTTGTCAAGCTCCTTTTAATTAAGTGTTTTCTTTGAGGTAGAGAATCCTCTGAAATGATAATCTTTTACGTATTCTAATAAACCATTCAGTGATGCGCAACATGGGAAGCATTATTTTAAGGTCCTCATTAGTTTTACTTTTTCTTCTCTAAAAGTTATTTTATATAAATATCTAACATCTCCGTTGCAATTATCTTAGGCTTGATCATAGGCAAAGGTACTTTTAAAAAATGGCTAGATATGTAAATTCAAAACTGGCTTTCATCCTGTGTTCTGTAGCCGGAATGCCTTCATTTATTTTCAGAATTTTCATATTTTTGGATTCTTCTGCTTTCACCTGAAATATTAGAACAGAAAGATCATTTACCCTGAAAAGGAAAAGGCAGTTTGCCCCTTAGTTGAAAATTTGTTAAAATATGATAAGTCAACGCTTAATATAGTTATTAATTTCAGAGAAATGGAAACTGTTTTAGTATAGTATATTTTAAATTAAATGTGTTGGGACCCATATTTGTCACATTTACTTTATAGTTTCGAATTCAGAAATTCAAAAATTTTTGTCTATCGTTATCGAGTGACCTTATTTTGCCTCAATCATTTTGGCTCCTGCACCTGAAGAAGGAGATTCTGTTAATCCTTAGAAACTGTAGTTTGGCAGGTTTATGCAATTTAGGAAGTTTTATAACAAAATAGCAAAAATAAGTAGACAAATAAAACAAATAAAAAATTCAACAAAATGTCATCTTTACCATTAGCTATAAACATTACTATCCATTTTTAAAACTTTTTATGTGTTTTTATCTGGAAGATAATATAGATTATGTTTATTAGTTATCTAAAGGCGAACTCAATTTCTTTTGAAGCATTGCTTAGCCGTGTCAAAATACGCTACATAATGATTACTGCGTATTTGAGAGAATTTTTTTGTAAAGGAATAACAATAATCTATATAATCCCAGAAATTTCATTAAGTGATTTCATTGAACAGGAAGCCTGCAGTAAACTAACTGTAACCTCCCTAACTGATAGAGATATTTTACACAGTGTCTCAAAAATGCCTTGCGGAACGCATGCAGTATAGTATTGAATTAAGTTTAAGAACAGTTAGGAGAACAGTGTTGAGATGAAATAATTTTAACCGTTGTTAGTGACATAATTCAGTGTCTTAGATTTAGTTACTTAAATCTTCGCTATTAAATGACGATACCATCTGTACAAATGTCATTTTTCAATGACAAACATAAAGGGAAGTTTAAATATTGCAGATAAATTTATACATCTATGTTTCAGCATTGCATCGATTTCACTGAGCATCTTTCGTGTACGATCAAAATAACAGTAAATTTAATTAAAGCTAGAAATAGTACAACAGCATTCATCCATTATTTCTATTAGCTGAATATATTTAATGTCCAACAACTGAACAACGTTCTTCTCAGAAATTGATCTTTACGTTGAAGAAAATTTCACCCGATTTTAGGTGTATATTTAATTATGGCAAAGCACACGAGGGCTATCTGCCTAAGGGGAGGGATGCCTTCGTGGAGGACGTTCTAAGAAAACTGGCTCGTATACACGTTACACATGGGGAAAACCACGAAAACGTCCATTCAGACAGCCAGTTCTCGGGATTCGAACCTCGGACCGAACTCCAGTGTTCAGCGACTTTACCGCTCGGCCGCTGGTGGGCATCATCCGATTTTAAAACAATTAAACATTCTTTTATTTCTTAATATAAGAAAGATGTGAAGAAAATATTAATTCATTAAAAGATAAAGCAAAAGATAACGTAAAAGCTCCATACTTGCTTATTCGACAGGTTAGGGAAGAAAAAACTTTTGAAAAACAAAAAGTATTCAGTGCAAAAGTAGTATTTTCCGATTGCAATTGTAATGGGGTTGAATAAAAAGGAAAATAGCGTACAATAATATCTCTCTCAAATGCGTTCTAGAATCAGGGCAAGATACGTACTCTATTTAATGCGCCTGAAACATTCTTACCCTCAGTTGAGAGTCAATTGTATAGTTATATGCACTGTTAAAGATACTGTAGAGAAACGAAACAGCGTAGGTCGCATAAATCTGCTGGACTATAGTTTCGAAGGTTTAGCAAAATCCTCTTCTTCTGCTGCAAAAGTGAAAATGATGAAGAGGTAGTATGTGCTCACTTGATGATAGTAGACAAAGATTTTTGAATTTCTGTATATCTTTATAAAGTAACAGTAGTATCACAGGCTGAATCTAATTTTCAGAAATATTTCTGTGAAGCTATTCTTACCGTTACGATATGTTCAGAAGAGTAGTTTAGATTTGAGAATGTAGAACTATATGTTTATTTTTCATAGTATGAAATTACATTTAATTATTCTGAGTGATTTGAGGAAACATATATAATCAAAATATTAGAAGTAAAAGCCTTTTTTTTTAATGTTAATCCTTGAAATTTATGCGCCTTTTTAATTGCAAATTTTGTAATTTTTGGGTGTTTGAAGGCTTGAATTTTCTTATGAAAAATATCTCAATTGAGATAAAATTTATACATCTCAATCAATATATATTCGCATTTAGTAATATTATTAATTACATTCTGCTCGATAACTGCATTTCTCTAAATTTCTTGTATTTAATAAATCAAAAACTACATAAGAACTAATTATATGCTAAAAAACCGAACAAAAACAGAAATAAAAAAAAACAAAAACAAAAACAAAAACAACACACACACACAAAAAAAAAAACCACACACACACAAAAAAAAAAAAAAAAAGTCTGAAGATGGATTCCGTGTTAAAATTAATCGCAGATTTCTATGCTAAAATGTAATTACGTCTAATTTTAAGAAAACTGAATTAATTCATTAAAACAAGCAATGAACAGGAATTGAAAAATGCTGTCATCAAAAGAAAACCAGAGTAAATTATATTCATTTGCCTTCTATTCATGCAAGAAAAATTAGTTTAACTCTGATGCTAAATTAGCGCATATATTTAATTCCAATGACCTGTATTTCAGTTGAAAGGGGAATCTAGAACTGTTTCTGGCACAATAATCTATGTGGAATAAACAATTATACACGGATAACTTTATTTTAAAAATGGCTTCTTAAATCTTAACTGACTGATTGGTGCTTAATCTTTTAAAGTGTTTTGTTTACAATTCAGCTTACTTATTTTATATCGAAACGACCTGAAATAAAGAAAAGGGAGAATTTTATTTAACACTAGCGGGCAAGCCAGATGAACGGACAGCGGCCAAAGTAAAATTTATAAGTTCTCTGTTCACCTGAAAAAAATGCATAGGAACATTTCAATATGATTGAAATAAGTTTATTCTTTCCAAGCAACAACCAATTCGAAAATGTCATGATTAAATAATGCAGCTTAATAGCAAATTTTCTCAATATCAATAAAAGAATTAACGGGGCAATGACATATTGTGTCAATTATTCTAACATGAAACAAAAAAAAAATCTGATGTGTACACCACATGACTTCCTTGTACGGAATATTTAATCATACGCGTTTTTTCTTGCATTTCATTTAAACTTGTTGAATTTAATTAAATCTACTTCGCCGACAGCGCATAAACCACAATAGAATAAATGCATTCCTTAAAATTCACTCTAGTATTTGTTTACCATAGCGACACTCTGGCGCTAGATTCACTTAACAGTACTATGTTTCGTTCATATTATAACTCATAATGCACAGAATTTGTATCATTTAAAGAATAGAATTATCTAATCGTTGCCACATGTTCTATTCAAATACTATAATAAAGCTAGAATGATGTATAAAAGAAATTTAGAAAATAAAACAAAATAGAAACAGTTTTTCACAGACGATTGAGTATTTCTCATTCAATTAATTCAGTTCTCACTTCGGGACAAGGCAAAAATACATAAAAACTCAAAATATTTGTATTAAAAATTACGAAGTAAATCTTAAACATTTATTTCCTCGAAAAAATTGCAGAAAGGATTAAGCATGATTTAATTCGCAATAATAAATGAAGGCGTTATCTTTGTTGTTGCCAAGCTTTGTCTCTTTAGATTGGAAACAAATCTACTATTCTGCTGTTTCAAATGTAAACAAATATGTCCGCCATATTATTTAAAACTTAACTGCACTTAAACAGCTTTTAAATTGTTGATAATTCTACAAATATTGTTTCCAGATTTACGAAAGGCATAAAAACCTTACCCGGATGATAAGAACAACATATTTCAATCATTTTTAAAGCAAAAAATGTACAATTTACAAACATATAAGAGTAAAGAAACTGAGGTTACTGAGCCGAGTAACAGAGTGGATATATATATAAATATATTTATATACGTTTGGTGCGGCCGATTGCAACCAAAATACGAGGTGCACGTCTACATGTTATAGGAATCCTATATACAAAATTTCAACGTTCTGAGGCTACTCGTTTTTGAGTATGCGAGATACGTACATACGTACGTACGCACGTACAGACGCCACGAAAAATTCTCTTCAGAATTAATTTTAAAGCAGTTTTATAATTTTTTTGGAGAAAACGAGTCTTTTATTCTGTCCTTACGTAGAGATATCACGTAAAAACATCGTTAAATTGCATTCGATAGCGGTCAAAATGGATATTTTCGTTGAAATATGCTGCCTGAAACTTTTCGCGTTTACAATATTTCCTTTTTACTTCGTACAAGGAAGTAACAATTTTGCCAACAGTAGCTCTTTATTTAAAATGCTGACATTAACGAAAGATTTTCAACATACAATGACGTCACATGTAAACGTGTGCTTTTTTCAACGTCAGAATACGACCTCATGTAATAATAATATGTTTAATAGTTGGCAATGTTATTTTCATTTCATTTTGTAAAATTTACGAATTTTTGTTAACAAACTGTACGATTTGAAAGCGAGCACTGGCAACACTTTCTGAAATAACGTATTTTTATCTCCGAGGCA